TTTCAGTTTATGGCATCAAATCAGTTTTACCTCGCAAACAAAATCAACAAACTCCTTGCCGACTGCTGTTCTTTATGAACGAGCGTTAGAGTAGGGCCTACATAGCTGCATGAACCGGCTTTCTTCAGTTGAACAGCAAATCGAGTCGACAGTCGGCACGTTAGCAACATTGAATTTGATGACATGAAATTATGACTTTGCGCTACGTGTAAGATATGTGAAGACTCTTGCATTAAACCAAAAAAAAAAAAAATAAAATAAATAAGAAAAGTAATAACTGGTGAAATAACTCATCACGGTGAGATACGCGATCAGTTCGAATAATTGTTATCCGGCTGCACGTCGACTGCCGTTGTGTAGGCCATTGATGAAAGGTTGTAAATTGGCACGACGGGTAAATTTCTGCCGCCAATTAGTTCCTCGATGTGTCATCTTTATTTCTTGCACAGCTGTATTGACTTTATTCTCCATTCATACAGGCACTGTTTAAGACTTGATTGGCGATGGCAAAAACTTCACGGTTGATTGAGCGTTAAGGGCAATTGCACTTGTGTATCCGACACCATAATGTGACCCCTGAGTAATGTAGCAGATGTTGCTAAGAAATTCAAATTTTGCAGACCAAAATGTTCGCAAAACCTTCGTGTTAATAATGTTTTTGCCTGTACCTTGGGTGTTCATAAAAGTACTTGTGTTATAACAAACACAAATGAAACACTAATAGATCACGGTAAAATATACACAAAGGGCTGGCAGCTATGCAGCGCAACCTTCAGCGTAGTCACGAGCACTGTGACCGCCTTACAAACCTTATATATCATCTATCAGCCACTCCTTCTCAAGCGAGTCCATCTCTCCTCTACTCGCTCTCTCTGTACTCCCTAAAGTTGTTCATAGGCGACGTGTATGTTATGCGGTATGAGTGGCGTCTTGTTCAGTGCTCTTCGCACAGATCACAGCAAGCTAGATGTTATCTCATTAAGTCATCTTCACTGAATGCCACCGCGTACATCAATTAATTTGTTAACTGACTATTGATCTAAAAGGCTGACCGCTGACATGAAATTAAATCAACCAACACGACTAACATACGATACAACGAACGAGCGAGCAAACCGAAAACGAATAAACAAACGAACGAATGAATGAACGAACGAAGAAACGATCGAAAGAAACAGTGAATAGAACGAGATCAACCAAGTATAACAAGGTTAATTAAATAATTTAACATCAAAGAGTGGTCCATAATAGAAACGAAAATTTCCTAATTTTCTTTTCATGGACTCTTGATAACATCCGCACGCGCCAGCACATCACTCACCGTACTCACACACGCACGCGCACGCACACGCGCACATGCACGCGCGCAATGTTACCTTGAATATCGTATTACATCGACGTTCGTTTACTCACCACGGCGTCGGGATGCTTAGCTGGTGTTTTTTCTATCTATCTTGTACGCACCTGTAAGAGTTAGAGCCGGTGGTTTTGAAACTAATGCCCGTCATGCCGGGGCTCAGTCTTGATATGAAATCAAACCCTGATATCGAATAAAACGAGAGAGAGAGATGCTCAGCGGCGATAATTAGAGAACTTTGCGCAAACAGTCGACCAATGCTCGTCTCGATTTCAACGAACACGTCAGACCGATTAGTCCGACCGTTTATTGATTACAACTTCCGCGCTCGCTCGCGACCTTTGTTGATTTACGGGATCTTTTCATCGCCTGCTATTACTGACGAGATTTGAAAAATTTTCGCGCCGACGCCACAATGCGGTTTCCGTTTATCGTAACCTCGCCCAGCAAAACGCTGCGCTTCCGGAATCGTGCGGGATTCTAGTTTCGCGGCATCGCTGAGTAGAGTGGTTATGGGCGTTATGAAACGCGGC